GACCTGAGTCTCTGCTTAAGGCACGTGAAAGGGGCTTCTTGCAGTTCTTGATGAATACGGAGTTTCAAGGCCTTACCCATCCTCTTGGCGGTAATCAAAAGATTACAGAGGCACATAATTGTTGCACGGACTGGGTCCAAATGTCTTAATAGCTAACCAAGTTAAAATGATTTATGATAGTGGATTTTATTCAAATTATTGGTCCGCAAGTGTAGTAACCCAAGATAACCAAACAGAGCTTTTCTCGCCATTCTGATTGCTTAATTCTTTACCTTCAGTATGCGGCCCACACCATTCCTCCAACATCCAAGTACCTACTCACTGCTAGATAAAAAGGGGCAACAGGTGTCCCGTGGCTCGGTTGGCAACGCACTCGCCTCATACACGTCAATGGGCGTTTCTTTGATGACGTCATCATCTCATTTCTTGTGATTACGATAACTAAACTTAGAATTATTCTACGCAAATGAGACTTAAACCAAAATGTTGGCACATTTCTTTAGCTATTCTAGGTAGCAAGTATTACCTGGAGTTTACCTGGAGAGAGTTCCGGGGGTCAACGCCCCCGCGGCCCGGTGGATCAGAGCCTGATCAACCAGGCTGTTGCTGCTGGCTGCACGCAAACCAACGTACGAGCCACAGCCCGGCTGATCAGGAACCGACTTTAGGTGCTTGTCCAGTGCCAGCTTGAAGACTGCCAGGGGTCTGTTGGTAATCCCCCTTATGTATGCTGGGAGGCAGTTGAACAGTCTCGGGCCCCAGATGACACTTATTGTATGGTCTCTTAACGTGCTAGTGACACCCCTGCTTTTCATTGGGGGGATGTTGCATCGTCTGCCAAGTCTTTTGCTTTCGTAGTGAGTGATTTTCGTGTGCAAGTTCGGTACTAGTCCCTCTAGGATTTTCCAGGTGTATATAATCGTATGATCACAAAACAAAACAAAACATATTCTGGCCACAAAATAGAGCGAAACACCAACGTCAAAGACCTGGGAGTGATCATGTCGGAAGATCTCACCTTCAAGGACCATAACATTGTATCAATCGCATCTGCTAGAAAAATGACAGGATGGATAATGAGAACCTTCAAAACTAGGGAGGCCAAGCCCATGATGACACTCTTCAGGTCACTTGTTCTATCTAGGCTGGAATATTGCTGCACACTAACAGCACCTTTCAAGGCAGGTGAAATTGCTGACTTAGAAAATGTACAGAGAACCTTCACGGCGCGCATAACGGAGATAAAACACCTCAATTACTGGGAGCGCTTGAGGTTCCTGAACCTGTACTCCCTGGAACGCAGGCGGGAGAGATACATGATTATATACACCTGGAAAGTCCTAGAAGGACTAGTACCGAACTTGCACACGAAAATCACTCGCAACGAAAGCAAAAGACTTGGCAGACGATGCAACATCCCCCCAATGAAAAGCAGGGGTATCACTAGCATGTTAAGAGACAATACAATAAGTGTCAGGGGCCCGAGACTGTTCAACTGCCTCCCAGCATACTTAAGGGGGATTACCAACAGACCCCTGGCAGTCTTCAAGCTGGCACTGGACAAGCACCTAAAGTCGGTACCTGATCAGCCGGGCTGTGGCTCGTACGTTGGATTGCGTGCAGCCAGCAGTAACAGCCTGGTTGATCAGGCTCTGATCCACCAGGAAGCCTGGTCACAGACCGGGCCGCGGGGGCGTTGACCCCCGGAACTCTCTCCAGGTAAACTCCAGGTCCAGGTAAACAGGAAGCGCCATTGCTGGAGTATATAAGAATCATGGGGAGCGCTAAACCCGCAGGATTATACAGCGCATGTGGGGGGGATGGAAGGCATTCAGACTCAATTCAGGAAACTGGAGCACAGATCCAATTCCGTAGATCACGAGCCCCTCACCAGCGTCAAGGAACCTCCCTCAAGGGGGCGCTTCCTGTGATCGTGTTTTCTTGGACCTCTTCTTTTCTACAACATTGTAAGCTCCTGAAGATGTTTTGATTATAATACGAAAGATCTAGAGCTATCATTCAACCCCCCTCCCTCCATGGTTGCTTTGCATGTATACCTACATATCATGTTACAAGCCTCCTAAACTCTAGTCTTTACACGGATCAAGTCTTAGTAATAACGGTGGGGAATTAGAAATTCCCCACAACTAATGTTGGTTTGTTCAGAGAGACGCCACTTATGATGGTGGGTTACTGTTTGTTTCTTCAGAGACACTACTGTTATGATGGTGGGCTAATGTTGGTTACTTTAGAGAGTTAGTTTAATATGTTTATTATGCACACCATACCCATCCTGTGGGTGGTAGTCACACCATACCCATCCTGTGGGCGGTAGTCACCTCATACCCATCCTGTGGGTGGTAATCACACCATACCCATCCTGTGGGTGGTAGTCACACCATACCCATCCTGTGGTAGTCAAAAGATTACAGAGGTACATAATGGGTCCAGGGACTGGACCCCAAAGTTATGATAGCTGAACTAGTTACAAAGGTAATGAACTCCAGGTAGATCTGGTCACAATCATGGCAAGTTACAGAGGTAATGAATCAGCCTCACTCCTATACATGGTTACAATCATGAACAAATTACAAAGTAATGAACCACTGACACGTCCACACCCGGTCACAATCTCAACTAGGTGAGTACACACACACACACACACACACACAAGAGGAATTGACAAGGTGGACAAAGACAGGATGTTCCAGAGATGGGACACAGCAACAAGGGGGCACAGTTGGAAGTTGAAGAAGCAGATGAATCACAAGGATGTTAGGAAGTATTTCTTCAGCCACAGAGTAGTCAGGAAGTGGAATAGTTTGGGGAGCGATTTAGTGAAGGTAGGATCCATACATAGCTTTAAGCAGAGGTATGATAAAGCTCACGGTTCAGGGAGAGTGACCTAGTAGCGACCAGTGAAGAGGTGGGGCCAGGAGCTTGGACTCGACCCCTGCAACTTCAACTAGATGAGTACAACTAGGTGAGTACACACGAATGCGGATGGATTAACGAATAAATATGAGGAGTGGCATGAAATAATCAATGAGAAGTCTCCAGACATCATAGCAGTCACAGAAACGAAACTTACTGAGACAATAACAAATGCAATATTTCCACCAGGATATCAGATCCTGAGGAAAGACAGGAGCAGAGGGGGGGGAGGGGTTGCATTGCTCGTAAAAAAAATCGATGGAAATTCTAGGAAATGGGAGGCATGGACGAGATTTGAGAAAGGGAATACATAAGGTAGTCATTGCAGTGATGTATAATCCACCACAGGACTGCAGGAGGCCAAGAGAGGAACATCAACAGAGCAATGATGAACACACTGGCTGAGGTGGCAAGAAAAGCTCACTCGAGCAGAGCAAAGTTACTGGTTATGGGCGATTTCAACCACAGGGAGATCGATTGGGAAAACCTGGAGCCAAAATACTGTTATGATGGTGGGCTACTGTTGGTTACTTCAGAGAGACACTACTGTTATGGTGGGCTACTGTTGGTTACTTCAGAGAGACACTACTGTTATGATGGTGGACTTCTGTTGGTTACTTCAGAGAGACACTACTGTTATGGTGGGCTACTGTTGGTTACTTCAGAGAGACACTACTGTTATGGTGGGCTACTGTTGGTTACTTCAGAGAGACACTACTGTTATGATGGTGGGCTACTGTTGGTTACTTCAGAGAGACACCACTGTTATGGTGGGCTACTGTTGGTTACTTCAGAGACACCACTGTTATGGTGGACTACTGTTGGTTACTTCAGTGAGACACTACTGTTATGATGGTGGACTACTGTTGGTTACTTCAGAGAGACACTACTGTTATGATGGTGGACTACTGTTGGTTACTTCAGAGAGACACTACTGTTATGATGGTGGACTACTGTTGGTTACTTCAGAGAGACACTACTGTTATGATGGTGGACTACTGTTGGTTACTTCAGAGACACTACTGTTATGATGGTGGACTACTGTTGGTTACTTCAGAGAGACACTACTGTTATGATGGTGGACTACTGTTGGTTACTTCAGAGAGACACTACTGTTATGATGGTGGACTACTGTTGGTTACTTCAGAGAGACACTACTGTTATGGTGGGCTACTGTTGGTTACTTCAGAGAGACACCACTGTTATGGTGGACTACTGTTGGTTACTTCAGTGAGACACTACTGTTATGATGGTGGACTACTGTTGGTTACTTCAGAGAGACACTACTGTTATGGTGGACTACTGTTGGTTACTTCAGTGAGACACTACTGTTATGATGGTGGACTACTGTTGGTTACTTCAGAGAGACACCACTGTTATGGTGGGCTACTGTTGGTTACTTCAGAGAGACACTACTGTTATGGTGGACTACTGTTGGTTACTTCAGAGATACACTACTGTTATGGTGGACTACTGTTGGTTACTTCAGAGAGACACTACTGTTATGGTGGACTACTATGGTTACTTCAGAGAGACACTACTGTTATGGTGGGCTACTGTTGGTTACTTCAGAGAGACGCTACTGTTATGGTGGGCTACTATTGGTTACTTCAGAGATTCACTTCTGTTATGGTGGGCTACTGTTGGTTACTTCAGAGAGACACTACTGTTATGGTGGGCTACTGTTGGTTACTTCAGAGAGACACTACTGTTATGGTGGACTACTATTGGTTACTTCAGAGAGACACTACTGTTATGGTGGACTACTATTGGTTACTTCAGAGATACACTTCTGTTATGGTGGGCTACTGTTGGTTACTTCAGAGAGACACTACTGTTATGGTGGGCTACTGTTGGTTACTTCAGAGAGACACTACTGTTATGGTGGACTACTATTGGTTACTTCAGAGAGACACTACTGTTATGGTGGGCTACTGTTGGTTGCTTCAGAGAGACACTACTGTTATGGTGGACTACTATTGGTTACTTCAGAGAGACACTACTGTTATGGTGGGCTACTGTTGGTTACTTCAGAGAGACACTACTGTTATGGTGGACTACTATTGGTTAATTCAGAGAGACGCTACTGTTATTCAGTTCAAGTTTATTCTCTATACGGGTTACAATATGGGGTTTACAGGTTTTGGGTATTGTGTGGTTTACATGTTATAAAATACTACTTACAGAGGGGGCCACTAGGACACCTAGCATGGCTAGGCATTTCCAGCAGACTTAGATTAATTCTTAACATTAAATCCTTACAGATTATGGTATTAAATGTTCTCAACTACCTCACTATTGTAAATTAATTTAATCATTTGTAATTTGTAATATAGAATAAGAATTATTATTAGTCTGCTTGAAATGCCACGGCATGCTAGTGGTCATCTTTGATATTGTTCCTTTGTAATATGTAAATCACCCATTATAATCTTTATACAGAAATTAACATTTCAATTTGAATAGAGAGCCATTTATAATAAATTTTTGTTGAGATTTCATAGGATAAAAAACAGCACAAAATTACAATGCAACATGTATATTTCACTTAAAATAAGTCAATAAGATCAAATAATGGTTAGTTTAGGTAAGGTTCACCAGAAAACAGGACAAGTGTTTTCTGTGACGTATTATCCAGCAGAAACAAAGGAGTAAATATTCTTGGATTACAATGATGACACAAGTAGTTTGAACATCAATCTTGTTGTCTTGTGGACGATGGTTGTAATGGAGAGTCAGCGTGTGGCAATGGCAAAGGTTTTGGTGGTGAGTCTTGTTAAGTGTGTTAAGAGAGCACAGGACATGTAGTGAAAAGTTTCAGTCTTGGTTAGCAGTACGCCTCCAGCAATACCAGCAACACCAACAACTTTGACCAAGTTGCTCAGTATCTGTAACAAATGGAAATTATGATAGAGTAATCCGTAACGTTATTATTCATCTACACAGTAGCTTTCTTCAGTCAAGTACAGAAAAGTTGGCAGAAGCAGTAGAAATGTTGAAAACGTAGTTGGTTAAATTACGTCTGACCAACTACGTCTTCAAAAATGGACTTATTACATCATCTTCACATCTCTACTGCTTCTGCCAACTTTTCTGTACTTGGCTGAAGAAGCCTACCGTGTAGGCGGAACGTTACGGAATAAAGAAACTTAACAGTTAAACATGTATCTTACCAACCTATCACCATTGTATACCATTTTAATATTCACAAAGGACATTGCCAGATTTTTGTTTCCTTTAATAACTGGAGAACACCTCCTCTGATCGGCTTCAAACTTTTAACAGTGGTTTATCGTACTTAGCAGAAGACTGGTGTTCTTAATGGAGAGTGTAGGTGAAATATGTCACTTTTAATCTCAATATTAAGAGTATTATTTTACAATACTCCATTATTTTGCCTTGACGTTGGTGAGGGGCTCTTGATCCAAGGAACTGGACCTATCCTTCCCTAGCTTGGATCGAATCCGAATGCGTCACATTCCACAGTCGCTGTAGGATGGATTTTCTTCACTAACTGAACCCCTCAAGGAAGGTTCCTTGATGTTGGTGAGGGGCTCTTGATTTAGGGAATTGGATCTGTGCTCCAGTTCCCCGAATTAAGCCTGAATGCCTTCCACATCCCCCCCCCAGGCGCTGTATAATCCTCCGGGTTTAGCGCTTCCCCCTTGATTATAATAATAATAATAATTCACTAACTGAAGAATGACTCTTCCGGTCGGCTGTAAACTTTTAGTGTTGATGTGTTTTCCACAATGGAAGGTTTGTCTGGTTTTTTGGTTGTGTCCTTTATAATATATCAATTTTATTAATCAAATTAGTTTAATATCTTCATTATGCAGCCCATACCCATACCCATGGTGTGGGTGGTAGTCACACCATACCCATGGTGTGGGTGGTAGTCACACCATACCCATGGTGTGGGTGGTAGTCACCTCATACCCATGGTGTGGGTGGTAGTCACCTCATACCCATGGTGTGGGTGGTAGTCACCTCATACCCATGGTGTGGGTGGTAGTCACCTCATACCCATGGTGTGGGTGGTAGTCACCTCATACCCATGGTGTGGGTGGTAGTCACCTCATACCCATGGTGTGGGTGGTAGTCACCTCATACCCATGGTGTGGGTGGTAGTCACCTCATACCCATGGTGTGGGTGGTAGTCACCTCATACCCATGGTGTGGGTGGTAGTCACCTCATACCCATGGTGTGGGTGGTAGTCACCTCATACCCATGGTGTGGGTGGTAGTCACCTCATACCCATGGTGTGGGTGGTAGTCACCTCATACCCATGGTGTGGGTGGTAGTCACCTCATACCCATGGTGTGGGTGGTAGTCACCTCATACCCATGGTGTGGGTGGTAGTCACCTCATACCCATGGTGTGGGTGGTAGTCACCTCATACCCATGGTGTGGGTGGTAGTCACCTCATACCCATGGTGTGGGTGGTAGTCACCTCATACCCATGGTGTGGGTGGTAGTCACCTCATACCCATCCTGTGGGTGGTAGTCACACCATACCCATCCTGTGGTAGTCAAAAGATTACAGAGGTACATAATGGGTCCAGGGACTGGACCCCAAAGTTTTGATAGCTGAGCAAGTTACAAAGGTAATAAACCCCAGGTAGATCTGGTCACAGTCATAACTAGTTACAAAGGTAATCAACCCCAGGTAGATCTGGTCACAGTCATAACAAGTCACAAAGGTAATCAACCCCAGGTAGATCTGGTCACAGCCATAACAAGTTACAAAGGTAATCAACCCCAGGTAGATCTGGTCACAGCCATAACAAGTCACAAAGGTAATAAACCCCTGGTAGATCTGGTCACAGTCATAACTAGTTACAAAGGTAATAAACCCCAGGTAGATCTGGTCACAGTCATAATAAGTCACAAAGGTAATCAACCCCAGGTAGATCTGGTCACAGTCATAACTAGTTACAAAGGTAATCAACCCCAGGTAGATCTGGTCACAGTCATAATAAGTCACAAAGGTAATCAACCCCAGGTAGATCTGGTCACAGTCATAATAAGTCACAAAGGTAATCAACCCCAGGTAGATCTGGTCACAGTCATAACTAGTTACAAAGGTAATAAACCCCAGGTAGATCTGGTCACAGTCATAATAAGTCACAAAGGTAATCAACCCCAGGTAGATCTGGTCACAGTCATAACTAGTTACAAAGGTAATCAACCCCAGGTAGATCTGGTCACAGTCATAATAAGTCACAAAGGTAATCAACCCCAGGTAGATCTGGTCACAGTCATAATAAGTCACAAAGGTAATCAACCCCAGGTAGATCTGGTCACAGTCATAACTAGTTACAAAGGTAATCAACCCCAGGTAGATCTGGTCACAGTCATAACAAGTCACAAAGGTAATAAACCCCTGGTAGATCTGGTCACAGTCATAACAAGTCACAAAGGTAATCAACCCCAGGTAGATCTGGTCACAGTCATAACAAGTCACAAAGGTAATCAACCCCAGGTAGATCTGGTCACAGTCATGACAAGTTACAAAGGTAATCAACCCCAGGTAGATCTGGTCACAGTCATAACAAGTCACAAAGGTAATAAACCCCTGGTAGATCTGGTCACAGTCATAACAAGTTACAAAGGTAATCAACCCCAGGTAGATCTGGTCACAGTCATAACAAGTCACAAAGGTAATCAACCCCAGGTAGATCTGGTCACAGTCATAACTAGTTACAAAGGTAATCAACCCCAGGTAGATCTGGTCACAGTCATAACAAGTCACAAAGGTAATCAACCCCAGGTAGATCTGGTCACAGTCATAACAAGTTACAAAGGTAATCAACCCCAGGTAGATCTGGTCACAGTCATAACAAGTCACAAAGGTAATAAACCCCTGGTAGATCTGGTCACAGTCATAACAAGTCACAAAGGTAATAAACCCCAGGTAGATCTGGTCACAGTCATAACAAGATACAAAGGTAATCAACCCCAGGTAGATCTGGTCACAGTCATAACAAGTTACAAAGGTAATAAACCCCAGGTAGATCTGGTCACAGTCATAATAAGTCACAAAGGTAATCAACCCCAGGTAGATCTGGTCACAGTCATAACTAGTTACAAAGGTAATCAACCCCAGGTAGATCTGGTCACAGTCATAATAAGTCACAAAGGTAATCAACCCCAGGTAGATCTGGTCACAGTCATAATAAGTCACAAAGGTAATCAACCCCAGGTAGATCTGGTCACAGTCATAACTAGTCACAAAGGTAATCAACCCCAGGTAGATCTGGTCACAGTCATAACAAGTCACAAAGGTAATCAACCCCAGGTAGATCTGGTCACAGTCATAATAAGTTACAAAGGTAATCAACCCCAGGTAGATCTGGTCACAGTCATAACAAGTTACAAAGGTAATCAACCCCAGGTAGATCTGGTCACAGTCGTAACAAGTTACAAAGGTAATAAACCCCAGGTAGATCTGGTCACAGTCATAACAAGTTACAAAGGTAATCAACCCCAGGTAGATCTGGTCACAGTCATAACAGTTACAAAGGTAATCAACCCAGGTAGATCTGGTCACAGTCGTAACAAGTCACAAAGGTAATCAACCCCAGGTAGATCTGGTCACAGTCATAACTAGTTACAAAGGTAATCAATCCCAGGTAGATCTGGTCACAGTCATAACAAGTCACAAAGGTAATCAACCCCAGGTAGATCTGGTCACAGTCATAACAAGTCACAAAGGTAATCAACCCCAGGTAGATCTGGTTACAGTCGTAACAAGTCACAAAGGTAATCAACCCCAGGTAGATCTGGTCACAGTCATAACAAGTTACAAAGGTAATCAACCCCAGGTAGATCTGGTCACAGTCATAATAAGTCACAAAGGTAATCAACCCCAGGTAGATCTGGTCACAGTCATAACAAGTCACAAAGGTAATCAACCCCAGGTAGATCTGGTCACAGTCATAACAAGTCACAAAGGTAATCAACCCCAGGTAGATCTGGTCACAGTCATAACAAGTCACAAAGGTAATCAACCCCAGGTAGATCTGGTCACAGTCGTAACAAGTCACAAAGGTAATCAACCCCAGGTAGATCTGGTCACAGTCATAACAAGTCACAAAGGTAATCAACCCAGGTAGATCTGGTCACAGTCATAACTAGTCACAAAGGTAATAAACCCCAGGTAGATCTGGTCACAGTCATAACAAGTCACAAAGGTAATCAACCCCAGGTAGATCTGGTCACAGTCATAACTAGTCACAAAGGTAATCAACCCCAGGTAGATCTGGTCACAGTCATAACTAGTTACAAAGGTAATCAACCCCAGGTAGATCTGGTCACAGTCATAACTAGTTACAAAGGTAATCAACCCCAGGTAGATCTGGTCACAGTCATAACTAGTCACAAAGGTAATCAACCCCAGGTAGATCTGGTCACAGTCATAACAAGTTACAAAGGTAATCAACCCCAGGTAGATCTGGTCACAGTCGTAACAAGTCACAAAGGTAATCAACCCCAGGTAGATCTGGTCACAGTCATAACTAGTTACAAAGGTAATCAATCCCAGGTAGATCTGGTCACAGTCATAACAAGTCACAAAGGTAATCAACCCCAGGTAGATCTGGTCACAGTCATAACAAGTCACAAAGGTAATCAACCCCAGGTAGATCTAGTTACAGTCGTAACAAGTCACAAAGGTAATCAACCCCAGGTAGATCTGGTCACAGTCATAACAAGTTACAAAGGTAATCAACCCCAGGTAGATCTGGTCACAGTCATAATAAGTCACAAAGGTAATCAACCCCAGGTAGATCTGGTCACAGTCATAACAAGTCACAAAGGTAATCAACCCAGGTAGATCTGGTCACAGTCATAACAAGTCACAAAGGTAATCAACCCCAGGTAGATCTGGTCACAGTCGTAACAAGTCACAAAGGTAATCAACCCCAGGTAGATCTGGTCACAGTCATAACAAGTCACAAAGGTAATCAACCCCAGGTAGATCTGGTCACAGTCATAACTAGTCACAAAGGTAATAAACCCCAGGTAGATCTGGTCACAGTCATAACAAGTCACAAAGGTAATCAACCCCAGGTAGATCTGGTCACAGTCATAACTAGTCACAAAGGTAATCAACCCCAGGTAGATCTGGTCACAGTCATAACTAGTTACAAAGGTAATCAACCCCAGGTAGATCTGGTCACAGTCATAACTAGTTACAAAGGTAATCAACCCCAGGTAGATCTGGTCACAGTCATAACTAGTCACAAAGGTAATCAACCCCAGGTAGATCTGGTCACAGTCATAACAAGTTACAAAGGTAATCAACCCCAGGTAGATCTGGTCACAATCATAACAAGTCACAAAGGTAATCAACCCCAGGTAGATCTGGTCACAGTCATAATAAGTCACAAAGGTAATCAACCCAGGTAGATCTAGTCACAGTCATAAACAAGTTACAAAGGTAATCAACCCCAGGTAGATCTGGTCACAGTCTAATAAGTCACAAAGGTAATCAACCCCAGGTAGATCTGGTCACAGTCATAACAAGTCACAAAGGTAATCAACCCCAGGTAGATCTGGTCACAGTCATAACTAGTCACAAAGGTAATAACCCCAGGTAGATCTGGTCACAGTCATAATCAAGTCACAAAGGTAATCAACCCAGGTAGATCTGGTCACAGTCATAACTAGTCACAAAGGTAATCAACCCAGGTAGATCTGGTCACAGTCATAACTAGTACAAAGGTAATCAACCCAGGTAGATCTGGTCACAGTCATAACTAGTTACAAAGGTAATCAACCCCAGGTAGATCTGGTCACAGTCATAACTAGTCACAAAGGTAATCAACCCCAGGTAGATCTGGTCACAGTCATAACAAGTTACAAAGGTAATCAACCCCAGGTAGATCTGGTCACAATCATAACAAGTCACAAAGGTAATCAACCCCAGGTAGATCTGGTCACAGTCATAATAAGTCACAAAGGTAATCAACCCCAGGTAGATCTGGTCACAGTCATAACAAGTTACAAAGGTAATCAACCCCAGGTAGATCTGGTCACAGTCGTAATAAGTCACAAAGGTAATCAACCCCAGGTAGATCTGGTCACAGTCATAACAAGTCACAAAGGTAATCAACCCCAGGTAGATCTGGTCACAGTCATAACAAGTTACAAAGGTAATCAACCCAGGTAGATCTGGTCACAGTCATAACTAGTTACAAAGGTAATAAACCCAGGTAGATCTGGTCACAGTCATAACAAGTTACAAAGGTAATCAACCCCAGGTAGATCTGGTCACAGTCATAAAAGTTACAAAGGTAATCAACCCAGGTAGATCTGGTCACAGTCATAACAAGTTACAAAGGTAATCAACCCCAGGTAGATCTGGTCACAGTCATAACTAGTTACAAAGGTAATAAACCCCAGGTAGATCTGGTCACAGTCATAACTAGTTACAAAGGTAATCAACCCCAGGTAGATCTGGTCACAGTCTAATAAGTCACAAGGTAATCAACCCCAGGTAGATCTGGTCACAGTCATAACTAGTTACAAAGGTAATAAACCCCAGGTAGATCTGGTCACAGTCATAACAAGTTACAAAGGTAATCAACCCCAGGTAGATCTGGTCACAGTCATAACAAGTCACAAAGGTAATCAACCCCAGGTAGATCTGGTCACAGTCATAACAAGTTTCAAAGGTAATCAACCCCAGGTAGATCTGGTCACAGTCGTAATAAGTCACAAAGGTAATCAACCCCAGGTAGATCTGGTCACAGTCATAACAAGTCACAAAGGTAATCAACACCCAGGTAGATCTGGTCACAGTCATAACAAGTTTACAAAGGTAATCAACCCCAGGTAGATCTGGTCACAGTCGTAATAAGTCACAAAGGTAATCAACCCCAGGTAGATCTGGTCACAGTCATAACAAGTTTCAAAGGTAATCAACCCCAGGTAGATCTGGTCACAGTCGTAATAAGTCACAAAGGTAATCAACCCCAGGTAGATCTGGTGAAATAAATGAAGACAGTTTCTTCTGATCAGAAATAAATCTTACTTAATTACTTATTTAAACAATTAAACCTTCAACGCTGATAAAGTTTATCTTCATTTTGGTTTGTTCGTCCTAATTGACTTTCTGTTTCGCAGAGAAACTGGCAAAATTTAAATACTGACTTTCAGGAAATAATTTCAGAAAGTTAACTTCAGTTAAAATATATTACACTATACTTGTATAATAATACATATAGTTGAATATACCTGACAAGAACGAAAGAAAAAGTGTCTGTTATATGACAACAAGAGGCAAGTGCTCTCATCTTATAGTGCAAGTTATAGTGGAAGTTATAGTGCAAGTTATAGTGGAAGTTATAGTGCAAGTTATAGTGGAAGTTATAGCCTGAACTCTATAAATATTGAAGTTTGAGAATATGCTTGCTACAGAGTCCAGTCCCTGGACCAATTATGTACCTCTGTAATCTTTTGACTACCGCCCACAGGATGGGTATGGGGTGCATAATAAACATATTAAACTAAACTACAGAGATGCTACGGCCATGAGCATCCTATCATCCAGAGATTTTAGAAACATAATATATAAGGAGATCTCACCTTATCTTGCCACTTCCTATTGGCAATACAGACATGGTATCTCTCCCGGGAGAAGGTAACCATGGTGTACAGAGGCACCCACGTCCTGGGAAGAAGGCGACTCAATATATCATCCAATTTCTTCCGCAGCAGGAAAAGTTTAGAGTTGACTAGCGACCGCATCTTTAAGAGGAGTGATAATATTACTGACTGTCTTGGATACTCTAAATTTATGGGCTATGAGTTAATATAATTTATCTTACCTCAGCTAATTTGTAGACATTTCGCCAACCAGTGGCTTTATCAATTTAATACAAGGATATGATGTGAAGACTGTAGAATTATATACAAAGAATGAGTTAATCAGTCCCTCAGCCTTGGAGCTGAACAAGAACCGTAGTATTATGTTCCTATGATCAGATTGTAAGCTCACCTCTAAGTAGTTGTACATAGCAAGGTCAACAATGGCCTCAGCGTCAGGGTTCCTATGTTTGGAGAAAGCTGGCAATACAAGGGCCAAATCGTCGTCAAACTGATCCATCAACTCGTCTAGCACAATACAGTCTTCCATTCCCTGAAAGACAGTGAGGCCAGTATACACTAGTTACTATCTTGTTTTTATTACATCACATTGAGAAAAGTTTGGAAAATAAACACAATGCAGCATAATGCGATCCTTTATAAAGTGGAGTTTATAAAGTCACAAATAGATCTACCTGGTGAGAGAGAGTATACGAGCGTATATAGTGTGCAGAGTCACCTCACTCTCCACACTATATAAGAACATATAAAAGAAGGAACACTGCAACAGGCCTACTGACCCATGCGGAGCAGGTCCATGTCCCCCCCCCGGATAAGCCCAATGACCCACCCAGTCTGGTCACCTCCACTCAAGGATGGAGCACTGCACCAGACCCAGCAGCATAAGCTAGTCAGGTCCAACTCACACCCACTCATGTATTTATCTAACCTATTTTTAAAACTACACAACGTTTTAGCCTGAATAACTGTACTCGGGAGTTTGTTCCACTCATCTACAACTCTATTACCAAACCAGTGCTTTCCTATATCCTTCCTGAATCTGAATTTTTCCAACTTGAAACCATTGCTGCGAGTCCTGTCTTGCCTGGAAATTTTCAGTACGCTATTTACATCCCCTTTATTTATTCCTGTTTTCCATTTATACACCTCGATCATATTATCCCTAATTCTACGCCTTACGAGAAAGTGCAGATTCAGGGTCTCAGTCTATCCTCATAGTGAAGATTTCTGATACATGGGATCATCTTTGTCATCCTCCTCTGTACGTTTTCCAGAGTATTTATATTCATTCTGTAATACGGTGACCAAAACTGAGCAACATAATCTAAATGAGGCCTAACCAAGGATATATAGAGTTGAAGAACAACCTGAGGACTTCTATTATTTATGCTTCTTGATATGAAGCCAAGAATTCTGTTAGCTTTATTGCGAACACTAATGCACTGTTGTCCTGGTTTTAGGTTACTGCTAACTAGAACTCCTAAATCCTGGTTAGCAGTAATATATACTCATGTACTGTATTATACAGTATTTGTGTTTATTTTTTTTCACCATGTGGGTGAGAAAATAAACATTTATCTCCACGAGGAAGGTTTATTGATTTTTAAGTCTACAGGACTAAATCCAAGAGGCCAACACGCATGATAAATCTACCGCCTCAACAAAATGTTAGATAAATGGACACAGATGTAGCTAATGTGACCTTTTAACGTTTCGCTCTTCAGGAGCTTCTGGAAAGTGAAACGTTACCATAATATTAATAATAATATTATCTTAATTTACTATAAGTACATGTACAAGGTATACAGACCACAGATGACATCAATGACATACTACTGTATAGAAAGCTGCTTGTTATGCTGAGCATTTCCAGAAAATTGGATCAGTTTTGTCCCAGGATGCGACCCACACCAGTCCACTAACACCCAGGTACCCATTTTACTGATGGGGAACATAGACAACCGGTGTAAAGAAACACGCCCAATATTTCTACCCTCGGTGGGAATCGAACTCAGACCCTCGCCGTGTGAAGCAAGAGCTTTAGCCACCAGTTGCATGTGTATCCATTTACCTAAATTAACCTGACTTATTATCACCATGAGCCGCCGGCATGTACATTATAACCATCACAACTTACTTAACCTCAAGAGTCCACGAGAGGTTAGTAGATACATCAAGACCACTACAACCACATCAACAAACCTGAATACAGGCAACCACATGTGGTCAGTGGTTATACAAGAACAGTTCAACTACAACCACCACAATTGATCTCAGTTGAAGAATTAGACACATGTACAACATCTGGGAGTCTTTATTGTAGACACTTCACCATCCAGTGGTTTTATCAATACACATTCATGGACATAATGTGATGACAGTAGAATTTTATACAGAAGATGAGGTAATCCGTCCCTCAGTCTTGGATTAGTAGTGAAAGACTAGCACCGAGGCTAATCTTTCACTGCTATCTTTCACTACCTATTTTTTTTTATCCTCATCACTTGCTCTTTCCTATGTTCACTATTAATTTCCTTCTTTTACATACCCTACCAAACTCGTCCACCAACCTCTGCAACTTCCCTTCAGAATCTCCCAAAAGCACAGTGTCATCAGCAAAAAGCAACTGTGACAACTCCCACTTTGTGTTAAAATCTTTTAATCCCACAGCTCTTGCCAACACCCGAGTATTCACTTCTCTTTTAACCCTGTCTATAAATATTTTGAACAACCATGGTGGCATTACTCATCCCTGTCTAAGGCCAAATTTTAGTGGAAAATCTCTCTCTCTCTCTCTCTCTCTCTCTCTCTCTCTCTCTCCTCTCTCTCTCTCTCTCTCTCTCTCTCTCCTACATACTCTTAACTGCTCTCAGTAACCTACCTCCTACTCCATACATTTGCAACATCTGCCACATTCCTTCTTCCCTGTCGTTCACCTTCATCCCATGGTTACCTGACTACAGGTAACCATGAGATGCAGCATTTACTGAAGACCACTACAACCACCACTGTTACAACCACCACCACTACAACCATCACCACTACAACCACCACTTACAACCACCACCACTACAACATCACCACTACAACCACCACCACTACAACCATCACCACTACAACCACCACTGTTACAACCACCACCACTACAACCACCACTATTACAACCACCACTATTACAACCACCACCACTACAACCATCACCACTACAACCACCACTATTACAACCACCACCACTACAACCATCACCACTATAACCACCACTGTTACAACCATCACCACTACAACCATCACCACTACAACCATCGCCACTCTTACAACCACCACCACTACAACCATCACCACTACAACCACCACTGTTACAACCACCACCACTACAACCATCACCACTACAACCACCACTGTTACAACCATCACCACTACAACCATCATCACTACAACCACCACTGTTACAACCACCACCACTACAATCATCACCACTACAACCATCACTATTACAACCACCACCACTACAACCATCACCACTACAACCATCACTATTACAACCATCACCACTACAACCACCACTATTACAACCACCACCACTACAACCATCATGTAAAGTAAAAGGACACAAGTGCAACTAATGTGACATTTATTGTGGCAACGTTTCGCTCTCCAGGAGCTTTATCAAGCCATTACAAACAATACATGGACACAGAGGGTATATAAAGGCACAGAGTGAGGTGAATACTAGTGAGGTACCATTTCGATGTTCACTACTGGTAGTAGTAGTAGTAGTAGTGGTGGTAGTGACAAAAGTAATACAATATGGTAGAGCAATTAATTCGTACATGAGTAAAAGGAATATAAAAGCTATTACTTGGTAACATAAAAATAGGTTGGACAAATATAAACTGGAATGAGGCAGGTTGTTTCAGTGTTCACTCTCTGTGCTTGTGTGTATATAACAGGAGAGACTATGTGATGGCAGGGTTTACTGTTTTCAGGAGGATTCTTGCTAAGACTTCGGAGATGTGTGAAGCTGCCGTTGTTTTGTTTAATTGTATTCGAAACAGCGATCAGTGCTGATTCGAGGCACTTGCGTCTGCGGAAATTAGTTTCTTTGATCACTAATTGGGCGTCTCTGAATTTCATGAGATGATGGTGGAATTTCGGTGTTGTACACAGGCGTTGTTCAGGTTATCGTTCTACATGCGTAAATGGTTCATTGAGGCGGGTGCCCAGGTTTCTGGCTGTTTCACCTACGAAAATCTTTTCAAAAAGCCCCCAAAGGGGTATAGTGAAACCCCTGCTTTGACGGTTCGTGGTGTTTGGGTTTTTTGCCCTGGTTATATCCTTTATTGAAGTGCTAGAAAGCGTGGGACCTGGTGTTAGCTTTTGAAAGTGTTTTGAGACGTTCATCAACCTGACGTTGGGAAGAATTAAACTTTTGCTTGGATGGTTTGATGCGTGGGAATTTTGTCGAAGAGCTTTTTTTGCGTCTTTGATGAAAAAAGAAGGAAAATGTAACTCGTGAAATTACCTGGAGTTTTCCTGGGGAGAGTTTCGGGGTCAACCCCCCGGGGCCCGGTCTGTGACCCGGCCTCCTGGTGGTCAGCGCCCGATCAACCAGGGTGTTTTTTTTCTGTCTGCACGCAAACCAACGTACGAGCCCAAACCCGGCTGATCAGGAACTGCCTTTAGGTCTTTCCAGTCCCTTGAAGCTGCCCGGGGGCTGTGGAATCCCCCCCTTATTGTGCTGGGAGGCAGTTGAACAGTCTCGTCCCCCTGACACATACTGTATGGTCTCTAACGTGCTAGTGACACCCCTGCTTTTCATTGGGGGGATGGTGCACGGTCTGCCAAGTCTTTTGCTTTCGTAGTTGAGTGATTTTCGTGTGCAGTTCGGTACTAGTCCCTCTAGGATTTTCCAGGTGTATATAATCATGTATCTCTCCCTCCTCGTTCCAGGGAAATAGCAGGTTTAGAACCACAAGCGCTCCCAAGAAATTGAGGTGTTATTATATCTCCGTTATGCGCGCCGTGAAAGTTCTCTGTACATTTTCCTAGGTCGGGGCAATTTCACCTGCCTTGAAAGGTGTGTTCGAGAGCAGCAAAATTTTCAGCCTAGAAAGAACAGTGACCTGAAGAGTGTCAATCATGGGCTTGGCCTCCCTAGTATAATATTTATTGTGAAAGGTTCTCATTATCCATCCTGTCATTTTTCTAGCAGATGGCGATTGATACAATGTTATGGTCCTTGAAGGTAGATCCTCCGACATAATCACTCCCAGGTCTTTTGACGTTGGTGTTTCGCTCTATTTGTGGCCAGAATTTGTTTTGTACTCTGAAAAGATTTAATTTCCTCATGTTTTACCATATCTGAGTAATTGAAAATTTCCTCATCGTTTGAACTTCATATTGTTTTTCTGCCAGGCCCCCACAGACGATTGTTGATGTCCGCCTGGGAGCCTTGCAGTGTCTGCAATGAAGACACGTCCAAGCAGATATCGGGTGTCATCAGCAAAGGAAAGACACGTGCAGTGGCTTGAC